TGTATTATTTATACCAATCTTTTGTCAATTGTAGTTGTTGCAAATATCTTCTCCTAGTTTATAGCATGTGTTTTTCCACTTTTGACAATGCATGATCTTATTTTAAGATTGGCTGTATGAGTGCTTAAATATATAAAATACATATTTACACATGTAGATGGATAGATATATGATATCTATTAAGTGACATATTTAAAGAGTAATTGATGCTGGGTATGGTGGCATACACCTATAATCACAGTTTGAGGCTATTCTGGAAAACTTAGTGAGACCCTGTCTCAAAAAAAATTTTTTAAAGGGAAGGGGATGTAGCCCTGGGTTTAATCTGCAGTACAAAACAAACAAACAAACAAAAAACCTGACTTTGATAACAGGTGATTTTTTTTTATAAACGGATTCAATATTTTTATTTTGTTTATTCATTTTTATATGGTGCTGAGGAGCGAACCCAGTGCCTCACATATGCGAGGCAAGCACTCTGCCACTGAGCCACAGCCCCAGCCCCCAATAGGTGATTTTTTTTTCATTTGAGAATTTCTAAGTTTCCTCATGGCATATGCACTGTGAAAGACCATAATGACTTAGAATTTTTAAAAAATTAAATTTATTTTTAACTGACACAAGCCCAGAAATGTATATATTTACAGGGTACTATGCTTTTAATTTTTAAAACACTTTAAACTTTCTTTGAAAAAGATCTAAGAAAGTTTTATGGCTAATACAATGTCCACATATACCCCATATGTTCTTTCACATAGATTTAGAGTTTACTTGTGTGTGAAAAAGATTTATTTGTTGTTGTTGCCTTTGAATCATTTAAGAGTAAATTATAGCATAAACCTCTGAAGACAAAATTTTTCTCTCATGTACACAAAGAACCATGCCCAAGGAGTTGGGGATATAGCTCAGTTGATAGAGTACTTGCTTTGAATGCACAAGGTCTTGGGTTCAATCCCCAGCAGCACAAATAAAATAAAAAAGAACAATGCTCAAATTTAGATAGGTTAACATCAATATAGTCTTCACTGAAGTTTGCCAGTTGATCTTCAGAGCAATTTCCTCCCAATCAGGAATCAAGTCCAAATTCTTTCCTTTTTTTTTTTAAACTTTATTTATTTATTTATTTATTTGTATGTGTTCTGAGGATTGAACCCAGTTCCCCAAATATATTAGGCAAGAGCTCTACCACTAATCCACAACCTCAGCCTCTATTTTCCACTTTCTTTGTAGTCTTTGGATAAATAAATATCCCAAATTTAATATGGTTACACTTGTCAATCTTTTTCTTTCATAGCTCATAACTTTGCTGTCCAAAAATATCCTTACCTACCCTTAAGTCAAGAAGGTATTTTCTTAGAATTTTTTGGAAAAGTTTTACCTTTAACATTTAAATCATTAATCCATATGGAATTGGTTTATATTGTGTATGAAATAAGAATGCACTTCTTTGTTTTCCAAATGGCCAGCCAGTTGTCCAAATACTATCTATTGACTAGGATCCTTTCACAAGTGACCTTCAATGCCATCTCTGGTCACATATCAAGGTTCCACTATGTACAAGTCTGTGTCTGGACTCACTGTTCTCTTCCAAATTGTCTATCTATCCCTGTGCTGATATCATCCTGTCTTGATTATTATAGCTTTATTACATGTTTTGCTATCTGGTTGAGCAAGTTCCCTGACTTGAGCTTTCTTCAAGTGTCAAAAACTCTGCTCTTCTGTATACATTTTAGAATCAACTTGTCAGTTTAAAAAAAAAAAAAAAGTCTTGATGTGATTATGATTGGAAATGCATTATTTTGATACAATAATGAAGAGTATAGAAGAATATGTATTCCCCAATAGATAGGTGCAATGAGATGTATCAAATAAATCAAGCTTAGTTGTTCATTATTTTCTACATCTTTGCTAATGGTCATGTTCAGACTTACCTGTCAGTTTGCCTCTGTTATACTAATGGATGAAATAGATATGTCAATTTCCCATCAA